CCCCCCCACACACACAAAATGTTCAGAGCCAATGGCAATTTTAAGAATGAAAATTTGTTTTTAAAACCGAATATTGTTTCCATATATGCGAAACTAGATTATACTACGTGTCGAGTGACTTAACTTTTCTGGTCCCCACTTTTTAATCTAATCAAGAAATATTTTTCAAATTGCATTGACATTTTTGTGTATGCACTTAATATGTAGCTAGGCAACACACATATTTGACTGACCAGGAATTCTCTTTCCACTACACAAAAAAAGTCTTTGGGCCATACTTAAAATATGTCTTTTTCTTCTTGTTAATTAAACATAAAAGCCATCCTCAGAACACGGGAAATCGCTTCTGAGACGTTCTAGAAAACACAATTTTTGTGGGGGAAATCCCCCAAAATCCCCTTACGGGAGGGGGAAAACTCCCTCCATACCCTCACCCTCTTCGCGCTACGCGCTCGGTTCGGCAGCACAGCGTTGACTATTGAGAAAAATATCTCGGCCCCCCCCCCCACCCCCCCTATTAGGAAATACTGGATCCGCCCCTGCACATCCCTGACGGTACCGACCGACTTTACCTACATTTAAAAGATTTAAATCGAAATAAATCGGCTATTTCGTCACTATTAACTGGAATACCATAATTAATATGATAGGTTGTTCTTAAGTGAATTTTGGGTTGTTGCGAATCTGGCTCATTTATAGGGGATATAGGCGCACAATAGTAATTTAAAACATTAGCTTTATTTTTATCGGCATTTCTATTGAATTTGTTACGGGATATATCGTGTATGAGAGTCAAACAATCTGCGAAAATACTCCAGAGGAGGTATTGCAGAGTATTGGAAGAATGTTTGGTCCCACCCTGTGTACAGTATGTCGTTGACTAAATCCATGGAATTAGATGCTACCTAAGTCCGTGCTTCTTTGTAGCGAAAACCTATACATGCCCAATAAGCCTTTTTGCAAAAGCAATGCATTCTGGGAGCTGGGGAAACTCGGCTGATTTCCACTTTCGGTTTGTCCGGAAAAACCACACAAGGAAATTTCTGGGATGTCATACAGATACTATTGATACGGTAATACATGGAAGAGTATGATATTTTGTTGTTATTAGATACATTTCCTAATAATGTGTCAAACTAATGATAGTTAATTAATAATTGTAAGTGTCGGCTGATGTGTAGCCGACATCCTCGATACCTCTATACTAGGGGTTACGCTCACGTATGCTCTCTGCATCCCTGGAATATGTCAGCAAAACTGAAGACACAGAGATAGCTGTTTGGTTGGTCTCAGGTTAAAATAAACTGCCAATTTCCCGGGTGAGACCTGTCCTTTGAAGATTACAGAGGAGCGTCACATGTCCAGACTTAAAGTTCAACAGGTTTGGCACAACGGCTCGTATGGATAATAATCGTGCACTTGGGTAACATTAACCCATTTGAGTAACAATTTTATTACTAAAAAGGAGAAGAAAGTGAAATGAAAACACATACAGTTCGTTTGAATATTATGAATAAAAAAGGGCGTCATTCTTTCAACATATAATCTTTATAATCCAATAAAGATACAATGAGATACAATTGTGCACAAAAATATGTTATTTCAGTTGTCTTAATCTTTTTGAAAATGACAAATTGGATCACCTACATTGCTTATAGTATGTTGTAGAGTAGCTAATAAATAACACACAGAAAAAAAATCATGCTCACCTGCATGCTGTCACCAGATAATCACGTTGACTACACCGACACACTGAAGTCAATGGAGAACAAAGTCGTTGATATGGTTTGACATTTTCACAAAAAGTTAGACATCAGAATTGTAATCTTTTTCTGTACAAATGTACTTCATTGTGATATTTATTGGATTTAGTTAAATGAATAACACCCTTTTTGGCTCAAAGTGTTTAAAAGAACTGTTTTTATTTCACTTTATTCCCCATTTCAGTAACAAATTTAAATCATTACTCAAATGGATGACTGTTGCCCAAATGCAGGATTGTTACCCATATGCTGTTCTGACCAACCTGTTCCCTCGAACTATACCTGAGTGGAATAAACTCCCACCTGACATTATTTCAGGCCCACATAGGAATTATTCAAATCAGCCCTCTACCGTCACTTTTCAAACGTAAATTAGACCATTTCGTATCTTTTAAAAACAATCTCTTTCCATGTTTCACTCCTCGTCTGACATTTTATCTTCAAATTGTTGAAGTTGGTCAGTACCATTTAGAAGCAGAAGAAGCCAGCCAATTTTTACCGTTACGCGACCTCAAGTTTTTGTTTATGTACATGTACATCAAAGGATCAAACTAATTTTTTTTGTCTCATCAACAAAGTGGTGCACACTGAGCCTTCTATTTTGCTATGACATAGTCTAGAAGTGCAGAAAGTGTACATGTAAGTGAGCTCAATCCCTGGATCATCCTCGGTATCCAGGGGTTACGCTCACTACCGCTCTCTGCACCCCTGGAATATGTCATAGCAAAATTAAAGGCTCAGTGTGCACCACCATGTGGATGAGACAAAAAGTCTAGTTTAATCCTTTGATCAAAAGAATCTCAGGGTCATGTAACAGTGAAACTTACTGGCTTTGAAGTCAGGGCTTTGCTCCTCTTCTTCCTATCGATGCCCCTCAAGTATTGTGAATGATTGAGAGAGGGAAAGATAAGTTCAAGTGCATGTCAAAAGACTTGTGTGGTGGAACCTGGGGAACTGCTGCCACCAATTTGTTAATGTGGAACAAGCGTCGGTTGTTGATCCGGGAAAAGAAAGACTGAGAGAATGGATTACAAAACTGTGATGATGTTTATTTACAATGAAAAACATATAAGCATTAAATATATACCATACACCCTCACAATCTCACACACTCTCTCCAACAAAGTAATAAATTGTCTATGTAGCTTCACGCTTCACACACGGCCACGACGATGATAAATACCAATGTTCCCAGGAACCATAACAAAGTTCCCACAACAGTCACTGACTCGTGACCCAGCTCAATCCTGAGCCAATATCTTCAAGCAGTACCATGCTTGTATACACCTTGCTAGGTAAATGCGCTAGTGTCTATGACACGACAGCACACCACAATGGTTGGTTGGTTCTCAGAAGAACAGTCACTAATAAAGTCGCCGACTGCTTCCAGAAACACCCAGGATTTGTCAATTTCTTAAAATGATATTATTTTTTTCAAACATTTTATTTGTCAATTGAATTGGACCCCCCTCCCCCCAACATCTAGCAAATGTTTGTAGGGCCGTCGTCATGGTCGTTCGGCATAGTTGCAGGTGCATTCATAAACACCTACGAAAAGAAAAACTAACATACGAAACAACAGTTAAGTCCATGTTGGCGCAACAGTTGAAATACAACCAATATGACCATGGGACTGTCAACGATGCTACATCCTAATTTCCAACGTTGGCTCGATAGTTGGGTTTCTTTATCAGTTTAATTTTTAGCTCACCTGGTCTGAAGGATATATGTATGTTCTGGTTTAAATTATTTCCATTAATAGTTCCTTGCAGGACCATATGGCGCTGGATGGAATTAAAGTGTGTGGGGTGAGTGCTGGAATCTCACAGAGTGACATAAAGGTGTACTTCAGCAACCCAAAGAATGGAGGAGGCAGGGTGTCCAAGATATTCTTCCCCCTCCTCAATCACACAGCTGTTGTCATCTTTGCTGATAGAAATGGTAATATTTCATAAGTTTTTTGTCGTCTTTTATAATAGAGATAGCTTTTTTTTACAAGTTAATTTATGTTGTGGCGCAGTGTCCAACGTCTGTCAACTTTTTCTTTTAAATGCAACTCATCCTTAACCCCTCATTGGATTTTGACCAGCATCCTTGGCCAAAAAGTTCTCAGTTTTGTATAAATAGAGGAGAAAGATAGGTAAATCTTTAAACATTGCCTTCTAAACCAATGAAAGGATTTTAACTAAATTTGCTCTACTCTAGCATCTTCAGGCAAAGGAGACTCAATTTTATATTAATGGAGGGGGAAGTTGGAGGCGCGGAGCCCAAAACAGGAAATAGATGGAAATCTTTCTCCTTCAGTATGAATGAAGGCATTTTGACATAATGTGGTCTGGAGCTTGAACATTTGGCATCCGTCCCGCATCATATTTGTTCTCTTTATGACTTCTTTTCAATAACCAATAGGCCTATGCTGATGATATTTGGTCAACAGCATGCTGGGATGTTTGTTCAAATGATTAACCTTGACCCACTTTCAAAATCACCGATGTCCATTGTTTAAAAATATTTTGAACAACTTCTTTTCAATGACCATTATAATGCCCAAGGTGATGATATTTGGCCAGTAACATGCTGGGATAAAAGGCAACCAAGTTTGTTCAAATAAATGACTTTGACCCACTTTCAAGGTCGATGAGGTATAATGTTTAAAGAAATCTTCAACCAGCTTCGTCTGAATAACCAAAATGCCCAGAGTGATGATAATTTGCCTGTAAGATGCAAGGATGAAGGGCACACTGTAATATCAGGTATAATTTAATTACCCCAAATAAATGACCTTGACCAACTTTCAATGTCACTGGTGTCCAAAATAGATATTCAAACACTTTCTGTGGAATATCCAAAATGCCAAAGGAGGTGTTGCATAGAAGGTGAAAACTGGCCCACAATAAATGATTTTTTTAGTGTAAACCAATTCATTTGAGCAAATTATGTATTTAAACAATGCTTAAACTTCATCTAGACCACAAGTTTGACTGCAGCGCCCCCTTCACTGAAGTCCAAAATTTGTACCTACCATGTGCCTTTAATGGGATCAGTGTGGCAATAACAAAAATATAATTGCAACCTGCTTGCACATTTAAATAACATATACAATAACATTTAAAAATAATATGCAACAATTGGCCATATGTTATATCAATTATTTTTCACTGGATGTGCCCAATTTTCTGAACTTCTTTTCCTCTTCTCCTTTTGGTTTTGATCAAATATCAAAGTACTGAAAGTAATGAATCAGTTCTGCCATCTGATCTTAAAAATGTTTTGCATGGCGATCAGCAACCCTGTATTGATTAATTGATATGAATATAGGTTTGACCGTACTTACCTTGAATGAAGATCAATGTGATTTATTTGATCAACAAGAGTTGGAATGGTTTATGCAATATCACTTTACTAGAGAACACCAATAGTCCAAGACATTTTTGTTTAAGTTCAAAATGGCGGTCATGGTCAATTGAAAATTGAATAGTTGGCAGCAAATCTTAGGTAGGGCAACCTTCTTTGATGTCAGATAGACTTGAGAAATTACACATGCTTGCAAAATCATTTTAAACACCAGTAAAGCGTTTGATTCCAATGACGCAACCTGTTTTTAAAGTAGTAGAATATATTCAATTTTTAAAGGTCTGTGTGAAAAAAGCTTAAGTAGATGTTCCTATCTTGCATATTTTAAGCTCATTGTACCATCAAGATCGGATGTCATATGAGGATAGTTTAGAATGTGATTCAGTAACGTAGGTTCACTTGATTTGACAATACTGCATTATACAGTAATGCAGAAATCCCACTTAGTCTTAAATTTGCATATATCACTGAGAACGCTTTGCAATATTAAGGACTTTGGTTATGTTCCAACCTTAAAACATCAAAATATTTAGTTTGGTTGATAACCGTTGGGTAGTCTTGCTTGCCCATATGTTACTATTTTGGTCACTTTTTGAGCCCATCACCATCAGATTGTGGGCTTTTCAAATCACCCAGCGTCCCTGATCTATTGTCGTGCGTCCGTCATTCCGTCCGTCCTTAAACAATTCTTGTTAACGCTATTTCTCATAAAAAACTAGAGGGATCTTTCTCAAATTTCTCACCAAGGTTTGCCTTGATCCTGAGTTATGCACATCGTTTTTTAGGACTGATTGCAAACCAAGATGGCCAACAGCTAGCCATCTTGAATTTGAGAGTTAAAGTTTCACATGAAGGTTCCTCATGGACCCTAGATATGCATATCATTTTTAAGGTCACCTGAGACAAAGTCTCAAGTGACCAATTGCTTCTTCTCCAAAACCCAAGAACCAATTTCAATGAAATTTTGCAGAAACGTTCCATGGCCAAAGGTCAACAAAAAAGAATGGCTGATTTGGTCCCCAGCTCCCAGGGGCATGAGGGGCAGGGCCAAAAAGGGTCAAATTGACTAAAATTTCAAAGATCATCTTCTCAAGACCCAGATATGGTAGAATCAAATACTCTTCATAGATGGAAGGGTCTTAAGGTGCCTTAGTAAAATTGTGAATTTCTTGACCCTGGGGTCTCGAGTTTTCCCTTGGGGAGGGGGTAAACTTAGTTTATATAGGGAAATCACATTTTCGACCAACATTTGTTTAATTGCCATTGAAAGTAGTTCAATTTGGGTTAGCATTATCAGTATTGGATAGCAGTTTGCTGGTATGCACATATCAGCCCTGACTGACCCCCCGGGCCTGATGGGTGGGGCCAAAAAGAGTTGAATGGACTGAAATTTCAAAAATCTTCTTCTCAAGACCAAGATATGGTAGAATCAAATACTTCTTCTCAAGACCAAGATATGGTAGAATCAAATACTCTTCATAGAGAAGGGACTTATAAGGTACTTTACCAAAATTGTGAATTTCATGACCCTGGGGTCTCACGTTTCCCCCTGGGGAAGGGGTAAACTTTACTATAGTTTATATAGGGAAATTATGTTTTCGACCAACATTTGTTTAATTGCCATTGGAACAATTTGGGTTAGCATTATCAGTATTGGGTAGCAATTTGATAGTATGCACATATAAGCCCTGACTGACCCCCAGGGGCTGATGGGTGGGGCCAAAAAGAGTCGATTTGACTGAAATTTTAAAAGTCTTTTTTCTCAAAGACCCAGATATGGTAGAATCAAACACTCTTCATAGATGGAAGGGTCTGAAGGTTTATAACCCTGAGTTGATACTTTGATACTTTGAATTTTTTGAGCCAGCCCTTCCCCCAAGGGCTGTAAGATGGGGCCCAAAGGAGTCAGTGTGCTGAAATATCTTCATTTTCCTTGTTTAGAATCAGAGGTGCTAGTTTCAAATACTTTTCAGTCTTAAATCTGTATGCTAGATATTGAATAAGGTGGTTTTATTGTTTTTTGTCACTTTGAACAATATTTCTGTTCATGTTAAAAACAAAATCAGCTCTCCTTATAAATATATCAGGTGACCGTTAAGGCCCATGGGCCTCTTGTTTTGATGGCCAACAGCAAGCCATCTTGAATTTGAGAGTTTAAGTTTGTTTAGCGCTATTTCCAGAAAGTACTTGAAGGATCTTTCTCAAATTTCACATGAAGGTTTTCCATGGTTCTTTGTTATGAATATTGAATTTTGGGACTGAAGAGAAAACCAAGATGGCTGACAGCCAGCCATCTTGAATTTGAGAGTTATTAAAGATTGCAAGTGCTATTTTTAGCTCACCTGGTCCGTCGGTTGTCCGTCCGTCCTTCAACTTTTCCTTTAAAACGCTACTAGTCATGAATGACTGAGCAGATGTTGACCAAATTTGGTCAGAAGCATCCTTGGGGGAAGGGGAACAAATTTTGTATAAATGGTGGGTCTGGCCTGGGGGCTGAGGGGTGGGGCCAAATAGGGGAAATATAGCAAATTCTTTAAAATCCTACTTCTTCTGTAGGAATGAAAGGACTTGTTCCATATTTGGTCTGAGGCATCCTTGGGTGAAGGGGAACCAATTTTGTATAAACCATGGGTGTGGCCCCCCAGGGGCCTGAGGGGCGGGGCCCAGTAGGGGAAATATAGGAAATTCTTTAACATCCTATTTCTGCTGTAGGAATGGAAGGATTTGTTCCATATTTGGTCTGAGGCATCCTTGGGTGAAGGGGAACTAATTTTGTATAAACCGTGGGTGTGGCCCCCAGTGGCCTGAGAGGCCAGGCCAAATAGGGGAAACATAGCAAATTATTCTTTAAAATCCTTCTTCTTCTGTAGGAATTGGTCCATATTTGGTGTGGAGCATCCTTGGGTAAAGGGTAACCCATTTTGTATAAACAGTGGGCCTGGCCCCCCTGGGGGCTGAGGGGCGGGGCCCAATAGGGGAAACATAGCAAATTCTTTAAAATCCTTCTTCTGTAGGAATGACTGGATTTTGTCCAATTTAGGAATGAAGCAGCCTTGGGTGAGGGGGAACTAATTTTGTATAAACCATGGGTGTGGCCCCCCAGGGGCCTGAGGGGCGGGGCCCAATAGGGGAAACATAGCCGATTATTCTTTAAAATCCTTCTTCTGTAGGAATGAAAGGCCTTGTTTAATATTTGGTCTGAGGCATCCTCGGGTGAAGGGGAACTAATTTTATATAAACCGTGGGTGTGGCCCCTCTGGGGCCTGAGGGGCGGGGCCGAATAGGGGAAACATAGCAAATTATTCTTTAAAACCCTTCTTCTTCTGTAGGAATGACATGATTTTGTCCAAATTAGGTATGAAGCAGCCTTGGGTGAAGGGGAAACAATTTTGTATAAGCAGTGGGTGTGGTCTCCCAGGGGGCAGAAGCGCGGGGCTCAATTGGAGAAATAGAGGTTAAACTTTTAAAACCCTACTTCGACCATTGGGATTATGAGATTTTATCCTTATTTAGTCTGGAGCATCAATGGACTAAGGGGACTCAATTTTGTAGAATTGGTAGGTATGACCCCCCAACCCTAGGTTGCA